GGTAAGAGATACAAAGTGGCTGTGGATCACAGCAGCCAGCTTGTCCTGGAGATTCTGTTGGGTATCAAAGAGCATCACTGCAACACCCATCATCCACACCCTGACAGTCTTTCCTGTGCAATCGCAGGAATGACTTTCAGACAACATTGCACATATCTGGATATTATCCCATCTGGAAAATGTGAGGGACAGTGATCACGTGAAAGACTTTCATATGATGTCGTGCTCATTGATCCTGTAACTGTCCCGTCATTGAAGTGGCATTGTCCAGCATTTTGCATTAACGGGAGTTTGTGTTAATACAATGCCACTCAATGACAGGATGAGTGCTCTGTTATGAAAGGCTTTTGCGTGATCACTGTCATGGAGGGGATAAGGATGGGGGAGTGATCCCGTCCCTATCCCATCTGTGAGACCAGAGTAGGGATATTGATTCCAGAGACATAGCTGGGTTAGTCTGGAATATCAGTATGCAAAGAGGTCTTGTAGCACCTTTGAGACTAATTGAGTGAAGCACATTGTAGGATAAGCTTTCATAGACTTGGTCTACTTCCTCAGATACACTAAGTGAACTGGTAGTGTCAAGGTGGAACTTTTATAATCAGAATGTATCAGTAGCCATAGAAATGCAAAGCCTCTGAGTGTGGTGAGGAGGTGGCAGGTTCAGTTTTAACTGTGATCATTGAGGGTTAAAGGCCAGAGGAAAGATGTTGCCTAAGGCCAGGGTGGGTGGATGACAGAGTGTTGCTGACAGGGTGACTTGGAAGTCTCTCATTCATAGAATTGCCATTAATTGAAGTTGACTTTATGGCAGTTAACTACAAGATGGTAGTGTTGGAAAAGTACAGCAGTCTGAAAAGGAAACAGTCCATACAATTAGTTGGTTGCCTGAATTTATTGTCTCCCCCCCATGGAATCAGCAAAGTAGCCCTGTGGTCTACTTTTGGATCACAGCCTTCTCTCAAGTGTTTCCCACATCTGTACATAATTCTCCATACACCTTTGCTCTCAAAACAAGCTTGTGAACTATATTGGTCTGAAACAATGACTATCTAAGGTTATCCAGTAAGTGCCATTACAATGTAGAGATTCAAATTCTAGTCTTCCTAGCCTAAAATGGGACACATTGACTGCTGTGTTGTGCTGGGACTTACTAGTGAAGACAATAGCTTCACTCTTGATTTTCCTAATGTTGTTTCCCATTTGTAGTTTTAAAATAATTTTCCTCTCCTGTGTTGTATCTAAGGAACAAAATTCCACTCGTTCACTTAAGTTGGCCTTTGTTTACCACTACCAACCAAAGCTTTGTTAATGCTGCAAAGGACAGGACCTTCTCTATGTTGGGTCCTTTACTATGATATAAAAGTGCATTTTGATTGACTCTTTTACTGTTGGTTTTCTGACACCTTCTTAAAACATTTTTGTGTTATTGTGGATTTGGCCTTCTGACTTAAGACGTGTTAGCTTTTCTGAAATGTTTTTGGGACCTATTTCAAGTTACAGTTATTACGTAATACAGGGTGCATCTACACTGTAGAAATAAATCAGGTTGATACAACTTTAACTGCCATGGCTCCATCCTACAGAATCCTGAGATTTGTAGTTTGGGGAGGCATCAGCACACTTTGATATAGAAGTCTTTGGCAGAGTATTCTGTCCAATATTCCATAGGTTGGAGCTACAACACTTAAAATGGTGTTAAACTGCATTACATGGACCTTTAGTTGCATCTTCATGGATAACAAAAGGCACTAATTATAATTAATATAGAATTCATAGCAACATATTTCCAAGTTCTGATTGCTGTACAAGTTCTGTGAGCTGGTATCTTCCCCATGAGTCTATTTGCTGTTCATTCTGTCTATCTCCTGGAGTGACGAACCTGGGTTGTTAGCCAGAAACAGACCAGAAGAGAGTGGTATAAACCTTTTTGTGTATCCCCCATATAACGAACCCTTTTGTGGATATTAATTTGTGAGCCAGTTTGGGAGCACGCCTTGGCTAAAATATTGACACTTGCGTCTTACACAATCTCATTATAGTATATTCCAGCACACTTCCATTTCATCATCATAAAAGAAGAAAACATCTATGATGGGACTAAAAATCTAAGCCTTTTAGCCTATAGATCATTTCACCAGGAAAGTCCATAAATGGCTTATTGTAGATTAGATAATGTGGTTCAGAGCACATCCAAATCAATAAAAAACCAGTCTGAACTCAGGAAAGTGCTCTCACTTTGATTCCTCTTAGCAAGCAATGAAGCAATGGGATAGGAAGGGAGAAGGAAACATTCTTTTAAATTTTTTACATATTTCCAATCTTAAATTTATAGTTGCCCCTGAATATAATAGTGTCGTCAAATACAATCAGTTGTGGTGTGTATATCTATACAAATTTCTGTATATAGAAAAAATAGTGTATCCGATGATGTTGTCCATAGTTGCTACTGCTTCTAATTAACTTTTTTAATTTGCAAAGTGTTTCATGCTTTTTGAGTCAGATCCGAAGGTGCCTTTCTACTTCTACAGAAGGCCTCTGGCACTCATAGCAGGTCAGTTTACACCTCAATAGAAAAGCACTGGGTGAGAAAAGGCAAACTTAAATTCAGATGAATCCTTGTGTGAATGGTTGTACAAGACACTTGTATGGCCTGTATTTCTCAGATTCTTTTTGTGGCCCACTAAAGTATGGCCTGCATTTTTCATATTTCCTTTTTTGTCACTGCAATGGAACTACTCTGCACTGTTCCACTGTGAGAAGCATTGTAGTAGCTCCTTGTAGTTAATCATTGTCAAGTTGACTTGGACTTATGGTGTCCTAAGGAATGAGAGAGCTCCAAATCACCCTGTTGTCAACATCTCTGCTCAGATCTTGCATGGTCTTGCAGGCCATGGCTTCCTGGCTCAAGTCTCTCCGCCTATAATGCAGTCTTCCTCTTTTCCTACTGCCTTCTACCTTGCCAGTCATTGTTGCCTTTTCTGATGAGTCATTTCTTCTCATGAGATGTCAGAAGTAGGACAATCTCAGTTTAGTTACCTTGGCTTTTAGGGAGAGTTCAGGCTTGATTTGCTGTAGGACCCATTTTTTGTCTTTCCTTGCATATCCTCTAATGCAGGTGTAGGCAACCTTTCCCCTTTAAGGTCCGAGGGACTTCAGTTCCCAGAAGTCTCAGCTATGTTGGCCAATAGTCTCATGTTGGCCAATAGCTCCTGGGATGCTGGGAGCTGAAGTCCCTCGGCCCTTAAAGGGGAAAGGTTGCCTTCCCCTGCTCTAATGCAATGGTTCTCAGACTTTATGATCCTTGTATTTTGGACTTGATCTCCCAGAATTCATGACAGTTGGCCAAGCTGCCTGGAGTTTCTGGGAGCTGAAGTCCAAACAATGTGCAAGAATAAAATTTGGGAACTGTTGATCTAAAGGAATAGTTTCAAAACCAGTTTCTTCTGCTGCTTTGGACCCATATTTTTGTTTCCCCCACCACCATCTGGAGTCCTTTTAGATTGTTTAATATTACGAGCTAGAAAGGAGTCTTTAAACATAACAATCACATCTTTGATTCAGACAATGACGACATAACAAGTGGATCCACAAATGGGATGATTCCAACCCTGAGGATTGTGAAAACTAACTATGTGTTGCAGATATGTTTAAATCTAGGGAGAATATCACATTTGGAAGCTTACCATGGTTAAAACGTGGCTGAATCATTCCTAAAGTGCGCTGCTGTGATCGCCAGTCACGCTTGTCTCCTGTGGTTAAATTGCACCCGCTCTGCTCCCGTCATCAAAGCATTCATGCAGCAGTCATTTCTTCAATAACAAAAGTTCCTATTATTGAAGAAATGGCTCCTCTGCAAACGCTTTTATGATGGGAGCAGAGCGGATGAAATTTAACTATGGAAGACAAGTGAGACTGGCAATCACACCAGCATGCTTTAGGAACAATTTAGCCACGTTTTAACCATGGTAAGCCTCCATGTGATATTTTCCTAGGTCAGCTGGACCCAACCAAACGTAGTAGTGTGCAGTGGTCCACAGTGTTGGCAAATCAAACTAAAGATATTCTAGCACTGACAAAGGCACTGTTCTATGGCTGCATCTACATTGCAGAACGAATGCTGTTTGACACTGCTTTAACTGCCATGGCTTAATGTTCTGGAATTCTGGGATTTGTAGTTTTATGAGATACTTAGCTTTCTCTGTGAGAGAGTTCTGGTGCCACAACAAACTACAAATCCCAGGATTCCACAGCATTGAGCAATGATAAAGGGGTGTCAAACTGCATTATTTCTGCAGTGAAGATTCAGCCTATATGGAGGAATTTGGAATTGCTTTTTAGCTAATTATGGATTAAAGTGCTAAAATGTTCAGCTTAATTACTTGTATTAATACAAATTTAACTTGAAGATTAATGAAAATACTAATGTATGCTTCTTTCCAAAGAAGGCTGACATACTTGTTTAAAAAGGAAGAGAGGCCAAAAAAAAAAAAAGGGAGATCTAAATTCTGGCCTAGCCTCTCTGCTTTTAGGAAGAGCGTTATCTCGTTGTTGGTTTGTTGTTGTGAAACTAATACTTTTGACCCACTGGTACATGACCCAATTGTTTTAAGGTCATGTGTCTGTGTGCGGTTACTTCATCTATACACCAGTTACTCTTCTTGACCCAACAGACACTATGTCCTCAGTATGTCATCTTAAGACATGAGTCCAGTTTGGTGATGACATTAAACTGTTGTTAAGCATTAAGTGCATGCAGGGTAGCAAATGTTGGGATCACATGCTACTTCCTCATCTTTTGGCATAATTATGAGCAAGAAATACAAACGAACAAGCCAGGGTTATAACCAGGGCTAAATCCAGGTTGCACGTTATTGTGTGCGTTCAAGCAATTTCCTAGTTATGGCAACCCTAAACACAGGGTTTTCTTGGCGAGATTTTTTCAGAGGGGGTTTGCCCTTGCCCTTCTTCGAGGCTGAAAGTCACCCACTGGGTTTCCATGGCCAAGCAGGGATTTGAACCCTGGCCTCCAGAGTCATACTAATATTCAAACCATTACACTATGCCAGGGGTAGGCAACCTTTCCTCTTTAAGGGCCAAGGGACTTTAAGGGCCGAGCTCCCAGAATCCCAGGAGCTATTGGCCAACATGGGACTATTGGCCAACATGGCTGAGGCTTCTGGGAGCTGAAGTCTCTTGGCCCTTAAAGGGGAAAGGTTACCTACCCCTGAACTACGCTGATCCCTAGTGTTGCCCTGTTGTTATTGTCTGCCGATAGCTGCCTTTGAGTTGACCTTGACTGATGCTATTCTTGTGAATGAGACATCTGCAATACCCCTCTCCTCAACTCAGCTCGGCTCCTGTATGTCCTGGCCTGTGGCCTTCCCAATTGAGTCTAACCAACTGGCATGTGATCTTCCTCTCTTTCTGCTGCCTCCTACCCATACATTAGTATAATTGGACTTGCTTTACTCCTCTGCAGCACAGCATGCCATAAGAAAATCTGCTATGGAGGTTTTCAGTCTTCAGGAGCCACTTTTTAGGCCAGATGGGTTAGCAAGTTCTAAGAAGTGGAGGAGAATTTCCACATCCCACTATGGCATTACAAACAAAACAGAACAAAACAATAACAAATCATTGGGCTCTTCTAGAGTGGAATCAAGAAGGGTGAGTTCTCATCCTACATGTCAGGGGTAGGCACTTCAGCTCCCAGAAGCCTCAGCCATGTTGGCCAATAGTCCCATGTTGGCCAATAGCTCCTGGGATTCTGGGAGCTGAAGTCCCTCGGCCCTTAAGGGGAAAGGTTGCCTACCCCTGCTACATGTGGTTGGATTTTGCCAGATTTTGTTTTGTTCGTTGTTTTCGTCCCTATGTCTACTACTTTCATTTTTAGGTTGGGTGTGTTCATATTAATTTCTTGGATCTGCACTAGGGCCCTTCCTTCCTTCCTTCCTTCCTTCCTTCCTTCCTTCCTTCCTTCCTTCCTTCCTTCCTATTGTGACATGGTTCCATTGTCCCCTGGGATGTGGTGGCTTAGTGGTTAAGATGCTAATTTTGACAATTCTAAGATCAGAAGGTTGGGAGTTTGAGGCTCGAATGATGGGGTGAGCTCACTAGTCCCAGCTTCTGCCAGCCTAGCAGTTTGAAAGCATGTAAATGCAAGTAGATAAATAGGTACCACTTTGATGAAAGGTTACAGCTTTCGGAGCAGTAAAAATGTTGCCCATATGACCACCAGAGCAGTCCTTGGATAATGCTGGCTCTTTGGCTTAGTAACAGAGATGACCACTACCACCCTTACAGTAGGTTATGACTAGACATTCATGTCAAGGGATTACCTTTACCTTTATCTTTTTGCATGGTCTCAGAGTATGAGGGGCAAATTTTCTCTTTTCTGAAGTATTTAAGGTTTTTAAAAACCTTTTAAGAGTTACAGTGTTACAATACACCAGTGGTGTCACTAGGGGAGTGCGGTGGTGTGGACCGCACCAGGTAACAGCCTAGAAAAGGGATGACAGACACCTGGCCAAGTGCCCTCCACCTCCCTCCCCGTTACTGTTTTACTCACGAGTAACATTGCGCCGGACAGGAAGGAAGAAGATGTGGTCTTTTGGCCCCAACTCCTGGAGCCCCCCAAAACCCTATCCCTGCACTGGGTGATACCATGGACAATAAACCAGTTCACTAAAATAATGTAAAAAAAAAAAGAGAGAAGAAAAGGAGACCTTTTATTAAAAGATAGAAAGAGAGAGAGAAAAAAAGACAGACAGACAGACAGACAGACAGACAATATATTTCAGAACTAAAAAGAAACCTTCAAGAGAGGGAATAAAATGGTGCAGCTAATGCAGGGCATTGCCAGAAAAATATTTAGGGACAAGAGAAATATTGTGTGGATATTTTTGTAAAAGTCTAGAACTACAACAATAAATGCCACAACCTCCTGACACCTTTGCCCACAATTGGAGGTGACCAACATTTTAAAAGCTGCTAAAAGGGAAACTATGGAACTTCAGTAACTGCCTTCATCACCCTTTCAATATCTTTAAGTAAACTTAATGCAGATTTTGATCTTTAAAATAACTACTCAAGCATTCTAATTGGCCAAGGAAGGAAACTAATGTTTCTTGACCATGCCTGTTGACCAGTATGTGTTTTCACATGTGGTTAATAATTTATTCTTTGAAAAAAAATCTATGTGCATTATAGTCTTTGATCTCATCATGAATTTCAAAGCCAAAGATTCCATTTTCGTTTCCTTTTTTAATTTTCAAAGAGGGTAGAAAGGAAAATCATTTAAAAACTTTTTTAAATAAAAAAGGGGGAGAACTTCCAGCTAACACTCATCCATGCTAATGAGACTGTACATTAATACAGTTTTTTTTTTAATCAAGGCAAGCTTACTGTACTCTGCAGGTGAAAAGTATTTGAATACAAGACTTAATGCATCTAGTAGATTAAAAGAGAAATTAAAGACTTGAGACTGAGAAGAGATCAAAGGCTGTCTTTTCATTGTTCTTTTTTATTGTTTATTGACTTCAAAAAGACTTTTAGTTTAAGCTGACTTTAATATCTCTTGAATGCTCTTTTGTAAAGTGACTTTGAAAACTCATGGATAATGTCTTCATTAAGTGGAGAAAAATCTTGGTGAAAATACAACTGTAACTTTGCTTTCATTATAGAAGAAAGAGATAACACTTTGCTTAATTAAGGTCTGTTTTCTCTTTGTTCCTGATTTTATGAACATTTTTTTGGTTGAAATTCCTGCTGATAACAGCTTGAAATAGTCATCTCTGAATTTAAATTGTTAGTTTTTCTACTGGCATATAACAGTAAGAAATGTTGTCCATACTCAGAACTAAGATCGTTACAAATAAACTACCTTTCTGAACCAGGTTTTTGGTCCATCATTTTTGTTATTTTTTTGTTGTGCAAAAATTAATAGTAAGCGAAAAATACAAGAAAAGAAATAGAAAAAAATGAAACTAAAACAGTTTAAAAAATAAGTAATCAGATGAAAAACTGAAAATGCATTAATGAGAATCAAATATGCCTAAACTTGTATTAAAAAGATGACCAAATATCCAGACATGTGCCCATGCAACATTGATATCTATATGCTGTAAGCTCAAATTTTGGAGGGATTTTTGAGTAATAATAACCACTAGCCATTGCATAATAGAGGGTGGGTGTAATCTAAGTTTTGTAACCTTTGAAAAAACAAAAAGAATCTATTTCTATTATGTAGAAAATTCAAACACTGTTACAAAACAAAATTAGTTGAGTTATCACCTTTTCCCCAAAGGAAAAAATAACAATTTGACCATCACTAAAACATATCTAGAAGAGAGCTCCGGGGTTAGCTGATACACTCAAATCTTTTCTAAATAAACATTCTTGAGTCCAGTGTAGAGAAAACAAAAGTTCTTGCTGTGTTAAGTCAGGGTTTTAAATCCATACTTATAGTACATATTGAACTGTGATCCATCACAGCCATCAAAAGAGAGCTATCTACTTCATCACTCCACTGATTCCTGAATCTCAGAATATTGTATTTATTAATTTACAATAAGGTGTTTTTTTTCCCCAAACAACAGCAACAGCAACAACCACGTACTTTTTTGTGGTTTTCATCCATGGGAATGTTGTGGAACTTCCATATTCAATGGCAGTATACATCTGAATAGAGATGATGGCGAGAGTTGCTGTGCTATGTGTATATACATACAGTTGCCCCTCCGTTTTCATGGGGGATTTGTTCTGGACCCCCTGTGAAAATGGAAAATATTCAAGTCCCATTGGCTTGAATGGTGGTGTGCGCCTACAGGTGCGTGCCCCATTTGGTCCCCCTTTGTTTGCCACCCATGAATGGGCAAAGGACGTGGACTTCAAGTCTGAGAAAATGGAAGGGCGACTGTATCTTCCAGTCTGTCTCCAGGAATGTTTCAAAGTGAAGGTTATAACCTTACATCTCTATATAGCTTAAATCTAGGCTATCTGACAGAGTAATGTATATCTCCCAATATGAAGCTAACTAAATCCTGAGATCCAGTCTTTGTAATATGGAATTCTGGAATTTGTAGTTTGGTGAGATATTCAGCCTGGTTTGTTAGAGAGTTCTGGTGCCTCACCAAACTGCAAATCACAGCATTCTGTAGGAAAGAGTCGTGGCTGTCAAAGTGGTGACAAATGCTTTATTTCTGCAGTGTGGATACACACCTTGTCATAGTTTTCTGGCACTTAATATATTCCTTATTAGGTAAAAGTCTCTCTATCCTTACATCATACCGTCCAACTGTCCTGATTTGGCACAACTCTTTTTTAACTCTATTATTTTATGATTCTATGATTCTGTCTACTTTTAACTGTTTGCAAATCATGTTTATTTTTTCTGACTCTTTGCTAGTCTAATTCTTATTACTGTGACCTAAACAACTTGATGCCGTACAATCAGTATCATGAAGACATGCACTGTAATAGGGAATTTGCTAAGCTTAAATTTCATACAAAATGTGCCAGTTTTTCTTCTGCCACATTGAGACAGGGATGAATTCCTTTGGGCTGCCTGACATGTAAAAGTTCATTTTCGTGGAATCGTTTTCCTATGCGTAGATGCAAAACAAATTGTGCAATATAAACATTTTTATAGTGTGTGCAGTTTACAAGCGCAATCTTTGTGGGTGGTTTAGAAGCTCAATTACCACTGAAATTGAGGGGATAAATGTCCCTGTGGACATCCATAAAAGCTACATGTTCTATGGCAGTTACAGGGGCTTGGGCAGCTTTCTACATCTTTTTGCAAATCTTTGGTGTTGCATGCAGAAACAGTGGGCAATCCATGAAAGATTACCACTTTGCATGCTCTCATGAAATTGCTATTTGACAGCACATGATAACTTACTACGTATAACATGCTGACACCATAGGGTTGTTAGGATTTTTTCTTCCCATTGACAAAATCTACACATGGAAATTATTCTTTGGAAGGTATCCATTGTGTTAACTGTAACATTTCGAAAGACAATTGTGGGTACAGCTGTTGGTGTGTGGATGATGAGTGTTGTAGT